CAACAGGAGGCCCCGAGAGGCCCCAGGAGCAGGAGGCCTCAGAAGGCAACAGGAGTGGCTCCAATCCCATGTGTTTTACGTATGCTCCTATCGATTGGGCCTCACCTGGAGCACGATTCTTTGATGTTCTACGTATGTTTCTATAGATGGTCCTTCTCCTGTGTACACAATCCTAAATGTTTTACTCATGTTCCTATGTATTGGGCCTCTCCTGGGGCACGAGTCCTTGGTGTTTTACGCGTGTTCCTATAGATTGCCCTTCTCCTGTGGCTCTAATCCGCAATGTTTTATGTACGTCTGTTGCTATATATTGCGCCTCTCCTGGGGCACGAAACCTTCCTAGGAGGTCCCAGGAGGTCCCAAGAGGCTCCTGGAGACCCCAGGAAGCCCCAGTAGGTTTCAGGAGGCCCCAGGAGGCCCCAGGCTCATGCACAGAGACGCGCTCGTACTACTGAGGCTCATTCACACTCCAATTCATTCGCAGTTAGATTGATGTCCAGACCGTCACAACTGAAGCCCGTTAATATTCGAAAGCTCTTGCGCCTAGACATTCACGGCGGACAGGTCCATGCGAGTAGATGCACATATGGGGAGCTCCACGCAGTGAATAATTTTTGCCTTGTGGCCCTGTTTAGTTTTGTCCTGGTCCTGTTTAGTTGGCTTGTGGTCCTGTCTTGTTATGTTCTGGTCCTGTTCAGTTTTCTTTCTGTCCTGTTTGGTTTTCCCGTGGTCTTGTTTAGTTTGCCCATGGTCCTGTTTACTTTTGTTCTTGTCCTGTTTAGTTTTCCCCTGGTCTTGTTTAGTTATCCTGTGGTCCTGTTTCGTTTTCTCCTGGTCCTGCTAAGTTACTCGGATGATCCCGTTTAGTTTTCCTGTGGCCCTGCGTAGTTTCGCCCTGGTCATTTTTGTTCCCCCCGTGGCCCTTTTCCCGCGGCCCTGTTTCGTTTTGCCCTGGTCATTTTTTTTTTTCCCCCCCCCCCCCCTCTTTTCCTTCTTTTCTGTCTCGGGCGGTCCTGTTTCGTTTTTCGGGTGGTCTTGTTTAGTTTTGCCCTGGTCTTGTTAAGTTTGCTCCTGGTCCTGTTTAGTTTTCGCGTGGTCCAGTTTAGTTTTCTTCCGGTCGTGTTTAGTTTTCTCTAGGTCCTGTTTATGTCTGTCCTGGTCCTGTTTAGTTTTGTCTTGGTTCTGCTTCGTTTTCCTGCGGCCCTGTTTAGTTGTAGTTGTCTCCGCGTCCTGTTTAGTTTTTCTGTGGTCTTGTTTAGTTCTCTTGTGGTCTTGTGTAGTTTTCCTTCTGGTCTTCCTGCGTTGTTTCTTTCGGATGGTCCTGTTAAGTTGTTCATGTGGTACTGTTTAGTATTGTTCTGGTCCAGTTTAGTGCTCTCTCTCTCTCTCTTTCTTTCTTTCTTTCCTTTTCTCTCTCTCTCTCTCTCTCTCTCTTTTTGTCTTCGGATGATCTTGTTTTAGTTTTCTCCTGGTCCTCTTTAGTTTTCCTCTCGGCCCAGTGGTCCTGTTTACTTTTGTTATGGTCATGTTTAGTTTTCCGGTGGTCCTGCTTAGTTTTCTCCCGGTCTTGTTTAGTTTTCCTGTGGTCCTGTTTTGTTTTGCCCGGGCCCTGTGTTGTTTTTCCCTGGTCCTGTTTTGTTTGCTTGTGGTCCTGCTTAGTTTTTTTTTTTTTTTTTTTTTTTTTTTTTTTTTTTTTTTTTTTTTTTTTTTCTCTCTCTCTCTCTCTCTTTCCGCTCCTGTTTGGTTTTCTCTTGGCCCTGTTCAGTTGTCTCCTGGTCCTGTTTAGTTTTCCGGATTGTCCTTTTTACTTTTATCGCAGTTTTTTTACATAAAAAAGTGTGTTCCTGTGTTTCTTCTTATTAGTATTTTTCTTTCCCTCCCGGATGGTCCCGTTCAGTTTTCTGTTGGTCCTGTCTAGTTTACTTTTGGTATTGCCTAGTTTTTTGTTTGTCCAGGCCCTGTATAGTTGTCGGATGGTCCTGCTTAGTTTTCCTGTGGTCTTGTTTAGTTTTGGCCTGGTCCTCTGTAGTTGTCTCCTGGTCCTGTTTAGTTGTCCTGCGGTCCTGTCTAGTTATCTCGTTGTCTTGCTTAGTTGTTCGGGTGGTTCTGCATAGTTGCCCCGTGGTCCGTTTTATTTTAGTCCTGGTCCTGTCTAGTTTTCTATTGGTCCTATCTGCTTGTCGCGTGGTCTTGTTTAGTTGTCTGTTGGTCTTGCCAAGTTTTTTTTTTTTTTTTTTTTTTTGATGGTCCTGTTTAATTTTCCTGTAGTCGCGTTTAGTGTTGTCCTGGTCTTTTTTAGTTGTTTCTTTGTCCTGCTTAGTTTTCATATTGTTCTGTTTAGTCGTTTTCATCGCACTGTAGAGTTTTTCCCATGGTCGCGTTTAGTTTTCCTATGGTCCTGCTTAGTTTTGTCCTGGTCATGTTTAGTTTTCTCTTGGTCCTGTTTAGTTGTCCTGTGGTCTTGTTTAGTTTTCTCCTGGCCCTCTTCAGTGTTTTTTGTGTGTTCTCTCTCTCTCTCTCTCTCTTTTTTCCCCCTCCGATGGTCCTGTTTAGTTTTCCGGTGGTCCTGTTTAGTTTTACCCTGGTCCTGTTTAGTTTTCTCCTGGTCCTGTCTGGTTGTCCTGTGGTCATGTTTAGTTGCCCTTTGGTTTTGTTTCTCTATTCCGTGGTCATGTTTATTTTGTGGCGAGGTACTGCTTAGTTTTCTCGCGGTCATGTTTACTTCTTCGCGTGGTCCTGTTTAGTTTTATCCTGGCCCTGGTTCTTTTTCCTGGTCGTGCTTAATGTTTAGGTGGTTATGTTTAGTTTTCCTTTGGCCCTGCTGAGTTTTCTCTTGGCCCTGTTTGCTTTTCCTGTGGTTATGTTTTCTTCTTCGGGATGGATTTGCTTAGTTTCTTTCTGGCTACAATGAGCAAGGGTGAGGTCGCGCGTTCGCCGGCATGCTCAGCGTCATCCTTGTCGCCATCATCGCCAGCGTCATCGAGCGCGCTGTTGCCTCATGGCCGTTTTGGCGCAAGCCGAGCGCCCAGCATCTGGGATGCGCCGCGATCGGGGGCGCTGTGCCGGGCGACGCGGGCGCCACTCTATGTCCTATTTGGGAAGCGTCTCAAGCAGAAGTCGGCAGCGACTGCGGGGCAGTCGCGGCCGTCGCGGGGGCGCGGCGGACTAGCCCACAGCGGGGCGTCTTGTGCTAAGAAGAAATCTCTGCCTCTGGCGAGGGCGGCCCTGCCTCCGGCGAATCGCGCGGAGAGCGAGGGGCGACGCGAGGGAAGCGCAGGGCGGTTCAGTCCCGCAAGGGCGTCGCGCGGACTGCGGCCGAGGCGGGTAGAGGAAGTCGGAACATGTGCCCTGCCGGCAGATCTTTGCCGAAGATTGGGTCTCAGTCTGTTGATTGCTCGCGCCCGATCTCGGGGGCCGATTCCGACGCGCGGCGCTTCGCCGAGCATTCCCTTCGCAACAGGGCGTTCTGCATAATATGCGATTCCCACAGACGTCGCGAGACGTGCGCGGCGCTATCTCTCCTGCCGAATGGTTCGTCGTGGCTGGCAGCAGGTGGGCATCGCGGCTAGCGGGGATTGGGTTGCCGAGCGCGCGCAAAGGCTGCGGCCGCAGGGCGGAAGAGCTCCGACGGAAGGTTCCCCATAGCGATCGCCATCGCTGCCATCCCTCCCGCAGCGATCAGCATCGCTTTCTCCACCCCACAACGATCGTCATCGCTTGGTCACTCGCCCACCCGCTTCTGCCACCTCCACGACTGCACCGCCCACATCCAGCGACCGACATTGTTATCATCGCTATGTTTTTGCAAGCCACAACCGCTGCGCGATCAACGCGCAGTCGGTGGGAGGGGGGCAACGCGCGTCGCCGCGCGCCTCGCCCGCACCTGGAATTTGGCACGCGGCGCTGCGCAAATGCGCTGCGCCGCGCGGAAATGATGCGCCGAGCGGCGGGTGGCGGGGGAGGCGCCTGATCCTCCTCATGTGCCTCCTCCTCGTCGTTCCCCTCCGTCACGATGCGCCTCGCCCGCGCCATGGCACGGCGTGGCGCAAATGCGCTGCGCCGCGCGGAAAGGCCTCCTTGCTGGGTGGCATATGTGCAGCAAGGAACAAGGCGCGTGGCTGGTGTACGTCGGCGGTGGCAGCTGCACTCTCTGGCTGCGCAAGCTCAAGCATAATGCAGCTGGCGAGCGTGGCACCTGGATCAGACGGCAGGCTTCTGTGCCTCTGCTAAGGCTTGCGGCTGCGGTGCGCGCGGTGGTGGGCAGGGCGCGCCACCGTTCTCAATTCCCCCACCATGGCCATGGCGGGGAAAGACGCTAAGGCACCACGTGGCCTTCAGCGTCGCTACCTGCAACGACCCCCCGGCGATGCGTGGCTGCGCGAAGGCCAAGCCGGTGGCGCTGGCTGGCATCGCGTTTACTTCATGGTCTGGATGCTCTTGCACGTCGTGCTCGCGAGCACCCCCCCTGTGCATTCGCCGCGTTGGCGATGTCGTGCGCTTCGGTCGCCGCCCAAGTGAACTTGGGGGGGCCCCAGCGCCTGGGGGCAATCTTCGAGCTCGCCCTGAAGATGGCCGACGACGTCTGCAATTTGTCGGTCGCGTTTTCCTTGATGGCATGGGGGGCTTGCCGAACCCGTCGGATTCAATGGCTTTTTCCAGCCTCTGGTGCGGGGCCATCAGCTTCGCCTGCAGGATGAGAAGGAGGCCGAGCATTGCTTGATAATCACCTGCGCCCGCGTCGCCAGGAGCGTCATGGCTGCCTGCTCCTTCTCCGCCTCCTCCAGCGTGTCCATCCTCTCATTGGCGCTCTCCCTCTCAGCCTTCTCGCGGGTCTTCCTCCCTTGGGCGGTCTCATGCGGCGGCGGCAGCTCGGGGGAGTCGCTGTCGGCGTCGCTGTCGCTGCCGCTGCTGGTTGGGAGCGGCTTCTTGCGCTTCTTGTGAGCATTGCCCTAATCATGGGCGTCGGCGTCGCGTTGTTTCTTCTCCTTAGTGCTGGCGACTCTCTTCTTCTCAGCGGCGTTGCCCTTGGCCTTGCCCTTGCTGCTCTTGCGGGTGGGCGTGTCTTTGGCGCGGCCCGCGCTGCTCTTATCAAGGCGCGCGGCCTTGCTGCCTGTGCCCTTGTCCTTGCGCTTGTCCTTGATGCTTCTGCCCTTGCCCGTGCGCGCGGCCTTGTCGTTGGGGCGCTAAGTGCTAACGTCCAGTGCTGCTCTGATCATCGCATCGCTCGATGGCTTTTTGTTGTCGCCGTGCATGCTGGCCTTCGCATCGCCGTCCTTGCGATGCTTCCTATCTCTGCGCGTGGTGCTGCTGCGTTCGATGTCGCCATCGCTGCGCAGCTCGTCCTCGAGTGGGGCCATCTTGGCGCCGTGCTTGCGGTGATGCTTTGCCTTGATGGGTGGCGTCGGTGGCTCGCGACTCGAGCCGCCCTCTGATGAGCGATCGTGATCATCATCGCTACCGCTGGGCGACGCAGGTGAATCACTGATCACCTCGTCGCGTTCGCCGCCCTCCTCCTCCTCGCCGCCTTCGCACTCCCCTTCGCATTCCTCGAAGTCGGCGTTGTCGACGTCGTCGGCCTCCTCGCTGCTCTCGCGGTCGCCGTCCGCTGCAACGTCGCCGCCGCTCGCTTCGACGCCCGTCGCGGACTCCTCCTGGACCATTCTGCCCACTGGTTGCTCCCAGCGCTATATTTCAGGTATTTCAACGCGGTAACACTTACCCAGCTCGGGGCGTTGAAGGACGCCCGTGCGCGCGGCTTTGATGCGGCGCCGCGGGAACCCTTGTTTCTTGTGCCACGTCAATGGGTAATAGCCACTTTTCTTGCCGTGCCGCTGCCGCTTCCCCGCGAGCGTCTGCAGCGCGAAGCTCAGTTGCTTCTGCAGCTCAAACTTCTTCGCGCATTCCTGCAGGCCGCCTTAGAAGGCCTTCCGCTCGTGATCATTGAAACGCAGCAGCCGCGCCTTCATCGCACCCCGCTCCTCGCAACGAGCGACTTGGGCGCCGCGCGACGAGCGCAACTTGCACTTGAAGACCTGTCCCTTCTTCGTGTACCGCATGGGATACGACGACATCACGTCGCACGGTTGGCCGCACCGATCGCAGTGGAACGTGTCGTCGACAGCATCCAGGCCCAGCTCGCGCTGGTCGCTCAGGCGGCCCCTTCTCTGCGGGCTCGATAGCGCTGCGAAACTCCCCACCGCGAACCACTGAGGAGAGGGGCAGTCCTCGCCCCACCCCGTCTTGCTGGGGGTAGCCGTCCCCGAACTCGCAGCAGTCGGGTCCGCCTGCGGCGGTCGGACTGGCACCTTCTGGATCCACTTGCCGATGTCCGCGTAGCCAGCCATGGCCTTACCCGCGGCCTTGGGTACAGGCGCTGCCGCGCTCGTCACTGCTGCCGTGGTCACAGGCGCTGCAGCTTTCGCCGGCTGGTCCTGGGGGGCACAAGCGCTGCCGCACTCGCCGCCGCTGCCTTGGTCACATGCGCTGCAGCGTTCGCCGACTTGGTCCTGGGTGGCACAGACGCTGCCGCGTCCGTCGCCTTGGCTGCGGCCTCCTTGGGCGGTGGCTTCGGCGCCGACATGGCTTTGCCCTTAGCCTTGCCCTTCGCCGCGTGCTGGGCCGCCGCATCTGCAGCCTTCGCCTTCTCCTTGGCCTCTTCGGCGGCCGCTCCCCCTTCATGGGCGCACTCGGCGTCGCCGTCGGCGGCGTCGCGGCGTCGCTCACGACGCCTGCAGCGGCCGCGGCGTCGCCCGCGCTGCCTGCGTCGACCGCGGCATCGCCCGCGCAGCCTGTCGCCGCGGCGTCGCCCGTCGCGCTGCCTGCCGCCGCGGCGCCGCCCGCGCTGCCTGCCGCCGCGGCGTCGCCTCCCTCGGCGTCGCCAGCCGCTGCGTCGCCTCCCTCGGCGCCGCCCGCCGCGGCGCCGCCTCCCTCGGCGCCGCCCGCCGCGGCGCCACTTGCCTGCCCGCTGCCCAAGCCGAGGTCGGCAATCATAGCAGCGTGCAAGCTATCATCGTTCGGCCCCGCGAGCTTCAGCGTCGCCTCGCTGTCGCAGTCGCTTTCGCCCTTGGCCTGGGCGGCGTCGGTTGCGGCGGGCATGGCGCGCGGGCCCCGCGAGCGGCGCGCGGCGCGCAAGCACCGCGATCGGGGGGGCGCTCTCGTCGCGAGGACGAGCGCCAAGCTCGCCCGCTCGACTTACAACAGCAATGGCGTCACATCAACAACCACGATCGCTATGAACAAGCGATCGCCATCGCTACGTTACTTACCGCGCCTAATGTATGATAAGTACGATAAGTTCCACACGTTGTTGCCTTTTTATATTTATATATACACATATATATATATATATATATATATGGTACCCCCCCCCCCTTGGGGACCTACCTCGCTATCGTCGCACTTCTTCTTGGCTTCTCCTTTGTCGCCCATGCACGCGAAGACGCAGACACAAAAGGAAGTTGATGAGGAGGGGGCGGAGGAGGAGGAGGAGGAGGGGGAGAAGAAGCGTGAGAGGACTCGGCTCTCGCCTGAGAGGTCAAAAACAACGCGAAGAGGAAGAGGCCCCCGCCTGAGAGGCGCAAAAAAAAACGCGAAGAGGAAGAGGCTACCGCCTGAGAGGTCCCAAAACAAAACGCGAAGAGGAAGAGGCCCCCGCCTGAGAGGCCCCAAAAAGACGCGAGGAGGAAAATGCCCCCGCTTGGGAGGTTCCAACAAACGCGATGAGGAAGAGGCCCCCGCCTGAGAGGTCCCAAAGAAACATGAGGGGGAAGAGGCCCCCGCCTGAGAGGTCCAAACAAACAGAGTCAAATGGAGGCCCCCGCCTGAGAGGCACCCAAAAAACTCTCTTGGGGGGAGGCCCCCGCCTGGGAGGCCCCAAAAAACACCAAACAGGAGGAGGCTCCCGCCTGAGAGGTCACCAAAAATCCAAAAGAAACCCAAACACCATGCCTCTCATCATTGTAACTGTCCCAAACAATTAAAAACACCCAAAGTTCCAGGGGGGAACGGGCGTCGCTGCCCCGGATGCATCGACGAGGGCCGCCATCTCCTTTGGAACTGTGTGTGTGTGTGTGTGTGTGTGTGTGTGTGTGCGTGTGTGTGTGTGTGCGTGTGCGTGTGCGTGTGCGTTTGCGTGTGTGTGTGTGTGTGTGTGCGTGTGTGTGTGTGTGTGTGTGTGCGTGTGTGTGTGTGTGTGTGCGTGTGCGTGTGCGTGTGTGCGCGCGCGTGTGTGCGCGCGCGTTTTTTTTTTTTTTTTTTTTTTTTTGGTTTGTTTGGGGGCAGTTGCAGGATGAGAGGCATGGTGATTGGGTCTCTTTCGGTGTTTTTTGGGGGCCTCTCGGGGGGCCTCCTCCTGTTTTTTTTTTTTTTTTTTTTTGGGGGGGGGGGGGCGGCAGCCTCCTCAAGGCGGCAGCCTCCCTCCTCAAGAGAGTTTTTTTGGGGCCTCTCAGGCGGGGGCGCGTTCCTCTGCGCGGTTGTTTGGGGGGCCTCTCTGGCGGTAGCCTCTTCCTCCTCGCGTTGTTTTGGGACCTCTCAGGCGGGGGCCTCTTCCTCCTCGCGTTTTTTTTTGGGCCTCTCAGGCGGGGGCCTCTTCATCCTGACGTTTGTTGGGGGCCTCTCAGGCGGGGGCCCCTTCCTCCTCGCATGTTTTTGGGGCCTCTCATGCAAGACCCTCATGGGCACGGCGAAGACGAGGATGACGAACATTATGGTGATGATGACGGAGAAGATAATATGAAGATGGTATTGCTGATGATGCTGATGTTGCTGATGACTATGGTGACGCTGATTGTGTTGATGATGATGCTGGTGTTGGTGTTGGTGATGGTGATGATGACGATGGAGATGATGAGGATTACGAACATGATGGTGATTATGCTGATTATGATGATGCTGTTGACGATGATGCTGAGGAGAGTTACGATCATTATGCGAAGGAGGAGGAGCAGCAGCAGGAGGAGGAGGAGGAGAGAGAGGGAGGAGGAGCCAGGAGTCAGGAGTCCCAGGACGAAGTCCAGTCTAGAGGATGGAGGAGGACAAGGAGGAGCAGTTTGTTATTATTGGTTGGACCTTTCAGGCGAAGTCGCCCCCTCAGAGACTGTGATTACGTCGGGGGCGTCGGTTAAGGAATGTGCACAGGAGGCATCAGACCTTGGGGGATTCCTCATCCGATGAGGGCGGTGGCGACATCCACGGCCCATCCACAATTGTTGTCGCTTCGCGAATCCCCACCAGCCCATCCAGAAACGATGCCCAGAGGAATTGCCTCGATCAGAGAAGTGGGCAGCACACAGAGGAAGCCATTATGAGACATCTTGGGATATCTTGAGCCATCTTGGAGGTCATTTTGGGCTCTCCCAGACGCTCTTGGAGTCATCTTAATCCGTGCCCCCCCCCAAGAGGCCTCCATGTGGCTAAAACCTGTGTAGAATCAATGATTAGGCATTCTCGCCGAGGCCTCTTGGAGCATCTTGGGTGCATCTGGGGGGGCTCTTGGGGCCTCTTGGGGGTCTCTTGGGGGCCTCCGGGGGGCCTCTTGGGGGCCTCTTGGGGCCATTTTGGGGCCATCTTGGGACCTCTTGGGGCTTCCTGGGCGCTTCTTGGGGCCATCTTGGAGGAGATCGATCAAACAAGAGGGGGGGTTTAATTAGCGTCCCCCCTCGGAAGCCCCTAAAATCGCCTCTTGGACCCCTCTTGGAACGCTCTTGGAGTGCTCTTGGGCGCTCTTGGGGCCGTCTTGGGGCTCTTTTGGGGCTCTCTTGGGGCCCTCTTGGGCCATCTTGGAACCATCTCCAGGCCTCGGATGGCCATCGGAAGCGAAAAGGCGAGAAAGCAAAAATCATTGATTTTCCTTAGGTTTTGGGACGATTTTGGCCTCTTCGGGGCCTCCTTGGGGAGCTGTTTGGCCACTTGGAGTTATCTTGGGGCCGTCTTTGGGCTTCTTGGAACCATCTTAGGAGCCATCTCGAGCGATCTTGCGCTATCTTGAGCCATCTTGGAGCTCATCTTGGGTTCTCTGAGGCGCTCTTGGAGCCGTCTTGGGCCATCTGGGACGCTCTAACTACCCGCGGCCCCCCCCGTCCAGGTCCAGGGGAGGGGGTAGGGGGAGGGGTAAACCCCTCCCCAAGGGGGAAGAGGGAGGGGTGGAAGAGGATCTGCTCTAGACCACCTACGCCCAGAGGGCTGGTGGGATTGGAGCTCTGCCGGCTTCCAAACCCTGGATTCCCACCAGCCCTCTGGGCGTAGGTGGTCTAGAGCAGATCCTCTTCCACCCCTCCCTCTTCCCCCTTGGGGAGGGGTTTACCCCTCCCCCTACCCCCTCCCCTGGACCTGGACGGGGGGGGCCGCTGGTAGTTAGAGCGTCCCAGATGGCCCAAGACGGCTCCAAGAGCGCCTCAGAGAACCCAAGATGAGCTCCAAGATGGCTCAAGATAGCGCAAGATCGCTCGACGATGGCTCCTAAGATGGTTCCAAGAAGCCCAAAGACGGCCCCAAGATAACTCCAAGTGGCCAAACAGCTCCCCAAGGAGGCCCCGAAGAGGCCAAAATCGTCCCAAAACCTAAGGAAAATCAATGATTTTTGCTTTCTCGCCTTTTCGCTTCCGATGGCCATCCGAGGCCTGGAGATGG